ATATATTCTTCCTAGTACTTCTATGTGTATTTAAGATAAAGTAGCATGTTGAAGAAAAGTCTATTCTTTGAATTCTTTCTCAGTTATACGGAGTGTTCATCTTATTAAACATATAGATTTGCACTGCAAAATAGCAGTAAGAATGATTCATGCTGAAGAAAAAGATATGAATTGTAACTTTCATTTAGTAAATGAGGCTTGGCAGTCTAATGTTACTGCACTGGGCTTTAATTAGCCAATGCTGATATTTAACTATTTTTTAAATGTTTACTAGACCTAGAAAATGAACACTATTTTAGCATCTCATTTGCTATGAGTCTCTGATCAAACATTTATAGGAATTAATCACAAGTTCATAATATATTTAATTAGTGCAGATCAGTGCCAAAGCAGACTGAACAACAGATTTCTCCAGTTTAGTGGCTCTGATTATATTTCACTGAGAAAATTAAATTATTTTGGGGAATCTGTGGATGTACACAATCATCTGCCTGACCATTACACTATCATCTATGCTGAGTACATGTAAATTTACTAATTAAAAACTATATTAGATAAAACAATAAGCCAGTCCTGGAATATTTTCCGAGAGAAGTCAATTGATCAAAAACTAACCATAATTTCTCACGTTTACATGCCAGTGCCTACTTCAGAATTTTTTTTATTTCTACAATTTATTTAATTTAATTTAATTAATTAAGGTTGCCTTATGGCTGATTTAGAGTTTCCTGCAACTTCCTGTCGCCAACACTGCATACCTACACTGTGAGGGAGTTGATGGGTAAACAGAGGTTGCAGAGGGCTGGAGATGGGTCAATGCAAATACTTCCTGAATCCCAACAGTGTGTTACGTTGTATAGTCCCTCTGTATTGATTGGTTCTGACTTCTTGTTGGGAGGCAGGAGAAGGCAAGGCACATTCAAATGGGAAACATTAAAATTTGCTGACGCATAAAAGGAAAGGCACACCCATCCCTGAAAAACAGAGGCATACATACCCTCACCTGCCTTGTTGGAGAAATCTGCTCCAGCCTTCATTTGGGCTGAAAAAAAAGTCGTTTTTTGGTATATTTTCACTGCCATCTATTGATCTCTGGATATTTGCAGTTATGTCCTAATTTAATAGCCAGGTTTCTCCCTCAGATGACCTTAAAGGTTGAATCCCTCATCTTCCCTGTTCAACTCTCTGCCTCCATATAACAAAATCTTTTGAACTGAATTCTTCAGGCAACAAAGATACACCAATTTCTAATGCAGTTTTAATTATTTTCACTGTGCCTCCATGGCTTGTGGATTCCTAGCCACCAACAGATTTAAAAGCTCTGAGCGGAATCTAGTGTATGGTAGAAAGCTCTCCTTCTGGACTGCAGACAGCTATTTGCTTCTTGGAGGTTATAGCTGCTGCTTTGGTGACTTTTATTGTTATTTTATAGTGTTGTTTGCTTTTGTTGTGCTGCTGTTGTATCTTTAAGCCTTTGTATTGAAAGTGAGGAACAGAAGTCTCACAGAGTCTTCTTGGATTGGAGCAATATGTAAACCTCACATATAAAATAATGTTTAATTTGAAAAATTAGTGTATAAATAGGAGTCTCAGACTGTTTCTTTACTAGCAATCACATTCTCCAGTGCCTCATTGATTTTTTTTCTGCAATAGGAATCCCCTGTTTATACTCTCTAAAACAGAGGTCCCCAACCTTTTGGGCATCAAGGACTGGATCTGTGGAGAAAGATTTTTCCGCGGACCAAAGGGGGCGTGGTTTCGTATGTTGCCTGCATCCAACAGATGAGGCTTCACTTGTTTGCGCAACCTTGTTGCTGGTATGCTGTGGCCTGGTGCCGGTCCACGGACCGGGGGTTGGGGACCCCTGCTCTAAAAGCTTAATTGCTTCAATAAGCCATGGCAATGTATTTGCTTTGTTCTCCTAGTGAGAGTTGTATCTCTTGGTGAAGAATTCACTAATTTTTCCTAGGTCAAAACCTGTTAGGTGGTTTGCAAGATGTCATGTATGACAAAACCTGACCACTGTTTTCAAACATATTTGCATTGGGCACACCTTTGCCCTACTGTTTCTTCAATTCATCTACAAACATTAATTGACCTGTTGCGTACACAATGTGTGTACATATTTTTTAAAAATAATTTACTTTGGCTACGCAGGTTGTTGTAGCTAATGGTTCACGTTAAAATAAATCTGCTTAACATTCAATGTTACGATGGCGCTGAAAAAGTAACTTTATGAGCAGTCCTTGCACTTACAATTGTTGCAGTGTCCCTGTAGTCACATCATCAAAACCTGGACACTTCACAACTAGTGGGGATTTATATCACAGTCATGTGATCACCATTTGCACACTTCATAGCTGGTTCTGACCAGGAGTGTCAATGGAGAAACTAGCAATAAAACTGCAAGTCACAGTCATGTGATGTCTTGCTTAATGATTAGGTTGCTTAGCAATGGAATTGCCAGTCACAGTTGTGATTGTTAAGCAAGGACTGTCTGTATCCCTGGAAGTGATCCAGTTGTTCCTGCATTGGCTGGACATGTGTTTCCAAATGAGCTTGCAAGTGTGAATAGAGAATGCACAAGGAAAAAAAAAAGCACAATTTGGTTTTTATGCAATTGTTAGCACTAGCTGGACAGAACATTCCCTTGAATTGGTTAGCAGATGTAAAAGGAAAAATGGTGAGTTTTTTTGTTTGTATTACAAGACTTATATTATGCTCCAGTCTGAACTGATCCTGAACAGTTTCAATTTACCGACTAATGAGAAGCTATGATGATTAAAAACTGATGAGGAAAACTGGTGTTGTGATAACAAGGTTGGTCTATAGGAGGCCAAATAGGAATGTGAGAGTGTTATTTACTTTTTTAGAGAAAAAAAGGTTGGGTTTTTTTTTGTTGAGTGGTCAATTTGTGTGATGCATTTTGTTTTATGCAAGACAAGATGGAGATAATTTTGGGTTTGAAAACAGTTTAATTTCACAAACAGATTCAGTCCATTTATAACTGACTCCATTTATGTGAAGAATATAGTGCCATGGTTTTGTTACCTATGATTTAATGCTAAGAAATATCTCTATTGCAATTAATTTGGTCTTAAATTGGTGGATTGCCATTTTAAAATCAAGCTCAGTATAAAACATTAATCAAAGCACTTTCTGAGAAGTCTCTCATAATAGCGTCCCTTTCCTTAGAATTTAGGAGTAGATAAATGGTGCCATTTATATCCTTGTGGATATTGCCAAAGCTGTATATTAATGTGACACTGTTTTCAGCTAAATCATTGGTCAGTGATAATTTAGTTTATTGTATTTATTAGACTTCA